TCAAATGTTATATACATGGTCAAGGCTGCAATCTGCATAGTCCAACTGTGGACATTTATCCTGTCTTATCATCATGCTTCAGTGTGTACATTTTTTCTCCTGGTGTGCATTAAAGAACAGAAGCATATCTCCAGTTGGACTGCCCAACTCATATTGTACATCTTACATATGGGAAGCACAACTACTCCACTACCATAAGAACTATCAGGCTGATTGCTAAAATTCTATAGGAATAAAATTTTGTATTAACTAAAGTATAGCTACCTTCAAATACCTCAAGAGCTCTCACATACAAGAGCGGGCAGAATTGTTCAGAGATCTTCAGACAGGACAAGAAACAATAGGCTTAAATTAAGAAGTAACTTTCAGATAGATGTCAGCAGAAATGCCCTAATAGTAAGAGCCCTTCAATAGTAAAACAGACTGCTTCAGGATATGGTGGAAAGTCACTACTTCCCAGTTTAATATACCTTGTATCTTTATTGTTGCCGGGAAAAAAATTGAAGACGGAATACAGCTAGTCCTCATTTAGCAACTGCCTTGTTTAGTGACCATTATGATGGTGATGAAAAAGTAACTTTACAACCAATCCTTGCATTTACGGCTTTCATAGCTTTGCTTCTATAAAGCAAAGGAAAGCTGAAGTAAGATCACTTCGCTTAATGACTGAGTTGCTGGTCCCAATTGTGGTCACTAAATGAGGACTACCTATACATATACCATATTGACCTTCTGGAGGAAAAGTAAGATATAAATCTAAAAATAAACAGAGATATAACTCATATAAATAGCTGAGAAAATATGGCCTATAGAATTTTTCAAAGTTTTTCACCCACATAACAAAAACAAAACTCATTAATTTTAACTTTATAATTGAGAAACTATATATTATATCATATACTACAATGAGAATTTTGCTAGTGAGAAAGTAATCTTAGGGTATTCCTCCAAATTTCAATTTATCTGAAAATTACATTTGCAGAAATACTTTCTAAAAACACTATTATGAATTATTATCAATAATAATAGGAACATGTTTAATGTTAATGTACTTATTAAATCTAAATAATAAAGAATGCTTAATCTATTCACATTAGGAATGTTCCTTCTATTTTTAATGTTACTATTATTCTTTTCCCACCCTTTCACTAAAACAGAAAGAATTTTTTATATGTATGTATGCATGAATGCATATATGTATGTATGTAGTGACTGGGCAAAAGTCAAAGAAATTGGGTGGAGGGAGCTGGCATGTCTTATTAGACAGATGCAATGCTAAACAGCAAGATCGATTTTGCATTTGAAAATAAATTTCTGAGATATTTTCCATCTACAACTATCCCCCTGTATAGCTTACACATATTTGGACATACAAAGTGTTAAACCCTAACTTAGCTAATGTGATGCAAAAGGCAAAACACTGTACAATTAATATAATAGAATGTATGTCAGAAGTTGTGTTTTGATGGGGAAAAAAATCAGTAATCATTTTTCTTTTTTCTGCATATTTACTCCTCTCAATATGTTCAGTGAATATTTTCAGTGAATGTGGAATTTAAGTTGTATCTCACAATGTTTTATATGCAAAATGCTTAAATCTGAGTAAATGCTATGATGTATAAGCTAATACTCTCTGGATCTACATATTGCAATACACTGTACACAAGAATGGTTTATATATAACATCAGCATAATATAGTACTCTAAAAAAATATACCATGCCAATATTAACATCTGTTGATTTGATTGTAGCAACATACAAAATCCTGGTGATGGTATACAAATTTTGCATCAGAGCTACCTAAATACAAAAATATATACTTAATTTTTATCCCTACTATTTATTAGTACTCCAGACTTGCACTTGGTTGCTGGAGGCTTATATAGACAGAGATTGGAATCATGTAATTTCAGTTGCTACTTCTGAGTTCAGAATCATGTTTCCTTCAGAAGCATGACAACTGATAGTGCTTTAAGCCTTTAACAAAGCTTTTCAAATAAACTTTGAAAATATGCGTTTTAACCAGGATTTTTTAATAGTTTGGTATTATTCATACATTTTAGAAACCACCTTGAGACATTTGTTAGTTTGCAATTTATAAATATTTGAACAGTGTATTTCAAAACTAATTATCTGGACAGTAATCCTAAACACACACACACATACATACACACACACAAATATATTCTACTGAAATGTACTTGAGTTTAGACCTCATTTTACTTAATTGGCCAATTCATAAAAAGAAATTACAAAGAAAAGGTTTTCTTTTGTTATCCATCTAGGATCAGGGACAATATTACATTTTGCCGCATCAAAAGTCAGGTATTAATTACTTTTTTCAGGAGAAGGAGGGGGCTAAATTCAGGCTCTTTAGTCCCTCCCCCCCAGAACAGATTATTAACTTTGCAAATTCAAAAAGCTCTGCCCTGAAATATATGTATATCAGGGCAAATGGATAAGGAAATTAAAATGTCAGACTCTGAACTACAGTGCAAACATTCATTTCTATATGATCCATGAACATTTTATATTGTAGTGAAAATAAATGCAAACCGTACATATAATTTAAAGGCTAAAAAAAGCTTTAAAAATCACACAACAATTTGATTTTTGTTTGTTCTACAAAATCTGACAAAAACAAAATATTCAACTGAATTAATAGTAGGGTTAGGTTTATAGCAAATTTGATCCCATGAATGTACTGAACTACCAGTTTGACCATTAATGCTATAATCGTATAGTATACATATGTTACCACCTGTTTGATCATTAAAGCTATCACTGAGAAAATCAGAGCTGAGGAATTATTGAAAAATATGTCTCTCAAACATTAGTCAGCTTATATTTTTAATATGGGTAGCACTTACTAACCGCATATTTCTCACAACAAATTGCTACAATATAAGATAAAGCTTTATTTGGAAACTTTTACCAAGATCACTTTTTGAAAGAACACAAATGTTAGAACCACTTCCTTCCTCAGCCCTCTGAAATTAAAATCTGGATCACTTCCAACATAGTATATTCTTTTAGCAGTTTCTCTGGCAGCAAGCCAGCATGAGAAGTGTTCTTGCAAAATGAACACAGAGAGACATTCAACTGCAAGTTATCATTTAATGCTTCAATTGACATCACTGAAGTTTAAAATTAAGAAACCTATTTAATAAACAATTTACTTGAATTCTAATTATAACAGTTGTATCTCCATAAATCTTTAGTTTTAACTTTTAATTCTAACAAGTTTTTTCTAAACAATAACATTTAAAATGTTATTATACATTATTTTGATCGCTGCAAAGTCAGTTTTAAAAAAGATCAAAGACTGGGTGGGAAAAAGAATTTTCATGATGAAATCTGAGGTACACAAAGTATTATTCTGTCAGTATTTTAAGCAAGATATAGACACTGAACTAATTTATGTGGGTAGTTTTTCAATACTTGAAATATCCTTTGTAATACATAGCTCTCACCCACTGCTAACAGATTTGTTTGGGCCTGGAAAGTAAGAATGAAGAAAACCAGCAGTAATATAGGTATGCCTTGTTTAGCAACTGTTCACAGTTACAACGGTGATGAAAAAGTAACTTTATGACCAAACCTCACATTTACCACCTTTGCAGGTCTGTAGAGCAAAGGAAAGCTGAAGTAAGATCATAAGCACACAGTTTCACTTAGCGACCACTTCATTTAACAATTTAGTTGTTTATCCCAATTGTGGTCGCTAAACAAGGAATATATGTATGCCACATGATATACATTCATAACCCATCATTCATGACAGATATCTTCACTGCAAATGCACTACTTGCCTCCCCCATCACCAGCAGGACCAATGGTAAATAGCTAACGAAACATCTATTCTTACTGTCGATAACCATAACCCTACATAAGAGGTTCAAAAGCTAAGGCCGCGAAAGGCTTAGGTGCAGCCTTCTGTGACTTTGTTCTTATCAAACTGATGTTTTAACGTGATAAAAAGAGAAAATTATACATGGCAGGAGTAATCAAACCAACCATTATATATTCAATTTTGTCTGGTATATCTAGAAAAGTGGCCCCTAACCCACCTAAAACTTTTTTTTACCCTAGCCAAAAAAAGGTTATGCATCTGTGCTCCTTGCCCATGCCAAAATCAGCATCAGGTCAGTACTGTACAAGGAGTATCTATATACAATTTGCAAAAGACTATGTGATATATCTAACTTCTGAAAATGGTCTTTCAGATCAAATTCGATCTCCTTCTTCCAAACAAAGGGAAGGATTCAATAATTTGGTTCCACTGATAGAAGCAATTTTGCAGATGAAAAATTATATCCCTCCCTATACCTTGCAATTCCTAAGTCTGTTCAAAATCTGCTCTGGAAGGTATCTAACCTTTTGAAGCATATCGAGGCCTGTAAGGGGAAAGAGGAGGAACTCCTGGGTTCTGTCCCAAGATTTCAGTTACAAATGTTCAAAGAAACTATTCATAGTGCCCTTTTTCCTTTTTTTTTATTTATTCCACATATCTTTAGCTTTCCTATCAATACTACATCCTGAACTGCTTCTCGGTGTGTTAATCAGAACTTTAATATTTTTAAAAGTTTCTGCATACTTTCCTATAAATTAGCTACTGAATATACCGCAAGTAATCTTTGGACTGTTAATGATATCTTCTCTGCTAGATACAGTTTTCTCAAGTGTATTTTAAAGAACCATTAAGTACTGAATGGCTTTTTTGGCCTATTTCTTATGAAATATCATCATGTGACTGCATATAGCAATATATGTAATAGCATTAGGAAAGTAAACTACTGTTTAGTTTGACAGTTACTTTAATAGCTTTTCTAAATGCAACATCCAATTGTTGTCTTCCATTCCCGAACAGAATTTATTTCTCTAGTGTGAGACACTCAAATTTCTGGCTTCTCTGAATTGAGTAAGACAGCACTTCCATTAAAAAGGCATTTGTTAAAAACAGTAAAAGAGTAACTGTGTAAATATGCATTCTACTTACGTTCGCATGTGTCTCCTTTTTGCTGAAAACCAGCTTTGCAGATACACTTCCCAATTGGTACTAACCACTCTCCCTCTGCACTACAGTGCATTCGAGGAGAGTTTTCAGCTTCTTCTTCCGCACTGCTGACACAGGTTCCTCGGACCTCAACTAGGGATGAGAACTCTGACCCAGTTACTGTGTCTGGAAAAATCGCTAAGTTCTCAATAATGGACCAGCACTTCTTATAGTATACTTTGACAGAAACCAGAGCAATGCAGGCCCCTACGTCCTGAAATGCAAGGTAGAATCCTTTCTTGGACAGAGGTCCAATCTCTCTCACTTCTGTATTAAGTTTCATTTTTCTCTCCCCAAGGTCACCTTGGGTAAAGCTCTCATCAGCTGCAATAGTATCTATTTTTACATACTGGTTTTCTCTGATAGTCCTTCCGGTGTCATAGTCTGTTTCATAATAATGCAAGTTGAACGTTTCTTTACATGTCCCCAGGACTCCAGGAAGGCTATTACAATCCCTCAGAGTGAATTTTAGTTCTACAAAAATCCTTTGTGCGTTGCCTTTTGTGATCCAGTTAGTCCGCAGCCAATTGTTTTGGTTGGGTTCCATGACTTGGCATACCTGGTATGTTCGTATAGGCGTGTAATTTTCATCCAGTCCACTAATTTCTTCCCACTGGAACATAAAGGCATAGTTATCCATACTGAGACATACTTTTCTAATAAAGAAAAACTAAAGTATAAATATAGTACAAGATCGATTATGTGCCATCAAGTTGTTTTCGACTCCTAGTGACCAGAGCATATGTTTTGACAACTTACATTGTTTAGCATGGAATGAGAGACTTTTTAAACTGAGGGGAATGATATGATCCAATGCCTAATATAATAAATTAATAGGCAGAGAGCAGATGTAACAGCACCAAAGATTAAACATCCCTAATTTGAAGTGTTATTTCTGGTGTGAATAACCAATACGGTGATAACAATTTCGGTCTACCCTACAAAATGACTGTCAATAAAGAAAAATTTTCAATCATATTAAAGTGCTTTATTAATATTAAAAGCATGAATTAGTGTACTGCATTTATAGTCAATACAGTCAGTATGGAAGAAACCCCAAAATATTGCATCACTAACTCTCTAAACTATGGGTTGCATTCTAATAATTACAGTGAGGTAAACTATTATTGCTCCATAGGAACAGATCCAAAATAACCGGTTTAACACAGGCAAATTTCCTTTATTTTCCATCTGTTTCTTAGACAATGTGAGAAGGGGTGCTTTAAAAACTCTGTTAAGTACACAAATGTTTTCCAACTATTGTTCCCAATTATAGTGTCTGAATTATATTTGGTAAGGGCTAAAATCATACCTATTTGGTACAGAGAAAATCACATCGAATTCTATTGGACAGCTCCAAAAACAATCCAAAAATGGATTCCCAAGTTGAGGGTATGATATGGTATACTTCATGCAATCTTTGACCTATGTGTGCAAATATATACAGACATCCCTCTACTTACGAACAGGTTACATTCCAAGAGGCTGTTCATTAGTCCATTTTTTTTCATAAGTCCAACCAAATATACAAAACATGCCTCTCAATGTGTGACAGTGCTGCCAAGCATATGTATGCAGACATGCCATAAACTAACCCTTTCCCACACTGCTCCCGCCTTCCAGAACCTTCTAGGTTGAAGTTGTGAACAGGTTTGTTTGTATCGGCAAAAATTTGTAACACAAAGATTCATAAGTAGATGTGATTGATGTCAGGTTTAGCCCAAAGAACTCTAAGAGACAGTGCAAAATCAGTTCAGCTATGTTTATTAGCTACAACCTCTAG